AGACTTTGTGAAGAAGTTATGGGCATTAGAATCATAGAATCGTAGAATCCTACAATTGTATGGGCCCTGTATGAGCGTATTTTTTTTCCAAGAGGTTAATCTGCTTAGAAACAATTGCTACTGCTTGCAGTTACAGGGCTTACTTCTTATATTACAGGGTGGATTTCTTTTTACCCCAATTTTATTTCCTAGATACTTGACTTGCAGGGACTGGAAAGGATAACTTAAGTAAAGCAAACCTGTCATGTGCAATTAACATTTGAATAGTGACAGACTTAGTCAGTTCGTGTGCAATTAACTTAGGCATGTGTGCAGGGTTCTGCACCTTTATGGGAAAATCCATGGGTTAAAATTGGGTGATAACCCACTTTCAGGGAGAATGCTCTCTCCACCACCTAATCCTACAGAAGGCATGCACTGCAGTCTTCTCCAATGATGGTTTTATATGAACTGACTTAAAATTGGGGAAAGATTGAAAGTTGCTGCTAGTGTGTCTTCAGTAGTATGTATGGTTGGCGTGCAACACGTAACAATACCAAACCATCTGAAGAATACATTAAACTTGGTTGCATTTTTACAAGTACTAACATGGGAGTGATTAAGCTCTGGCACAGGTTCCCCAGAGGCGATTTTGCAGCCTTTAAATGTAACTGGACAGGACCTTGAGCAACTTGAACTATAGGCTTTTAACTACCCTTGCTGTGAGCAGGAGGTTGGCCTGGAAGACTTACAGAAATCAAATCCAGCCAAAGTCATTTTATGAGTCTTTAATCATATGTACCACAAGCACTTAGCTGTACGTGAACACTACAAAAACCATCCCAATGGATATTGCTTTCTGTTCTGCTGTATAGTGACATGGCTGAACATCTTACAGCCTTAATCTTGGTGCTGCTCTTTGTTGTGACTTTTGGCTCACTATGTTTTAATGTCAGTCAGCCGTAAGCAGTCTATTGTGGTGACTCTTTCTCCTAATGTGCCACTGTCTGTGTTTGCTTGCTTAGCTGTTTTTGAGAAACAGTTACAGCAAGTCATTAACTTGACAGGCCACTGCAGCAAATGTTCACACCAGAAGCTGATCAAAGTACACAGCTATCTGCTGCCCAGTTGGAAACTGTCAGTGGTGCTGTGATTACATTTTACAAATGTGTGATGACTAGTTGTGGCTACATTTTGCAGGCAGAAGGTGTTTTCATGAGCCTTTGGTTGATACCACATACCCTTCGCTGTATGTGTCAAAGGGTAAGACCAGCTCTGCCAGTGAGACAGCCAGTGTAGAGGTGACAACACCAGACTTGCTGCTTCATAGATCATCATCTTGAGGGGTGTGACAGGTCCCTGGAATCAATGGCATGTCCTCCTGCCGAAGACTGACTGTGGAAAAAGTGAAGGGAACCAAGGGGGTTGGTTTTCATCTCCATGGCCCATTTTGTTAGGCTACCTTGTTTCTTTCTCCTATGCACATTTTCCAAATATACAGCTGTATAAAGAGGACAAGGGCCTCACTAAAACCCCTAAGAAAGCAGTAGTGACAACTTCAAAATCCTTCTCCTGAAAATACGGTAATAACTTTAGGTGTTAAGCAACAAGTGAAACATCTCAGGAGAAAAATGCGCTGGTTATGTTGAGTCAGTGGTGTGACCTATTCTGAAGAAATATTTGCATATAGTTTAAAAAAAACTCCCTATATATTAAATGTAATATTCTCTTTAATAGTGCTCTGAGAAATTGAGCTGGTTGTATTAACTGGCTTCAAAACAGACAGTGAATGCTCATTCAGAAAATGCAGTTGAATACTCAAATTCTGATATTCATGTAGGTGTTCTCAGATGCTGCAGTTGTGCAGTTAAAGTGGAATTTATGTGCTTAAGATTCATAATGAATAACAGTAGATGAAGTTTATGGTTCATACATCTTCTCATGTGTTAAATTTTGCTGTTAAATGTGTAAATTTCCAAAGGGTGTGGATGATTAAGTATTTTTGCCACCTGATTTCCAGAAGCTGAATAGCAGAAAGCATGGCAACACTGCTCTGCATAATGAAAATGAACAGTGGATGAAGGAGTTGGATTTTATTGTCCTTCTCCTCCACAAAAATACGCCTTGCATTTTTTCACATCTTGTCCTTTTAATAAGAAAACATCAGTGGTGTAACAGTGGATTTTGTAACTATATGTTCTAACATGTCAAAGCCTCATTGCAGCTTGTCAACACTAGGAATTCGTACAGTGCTAATGAGTAAGTTACAACGTAATTGAACTAATTGAATTAAACTTGGTAGACCTCAAAAAAAAAGCCTGCTTCAGATTCAGTGAAATTGTCCTCTAACTTGTAAATCAAGCTCTACTCATAGGGTAGCCAAGTGTACATTAACTCTACTATGATTACGCAGAATGAGGACACACTTTTTGTGCAATATTCTTCCTTCAGCTCATGAGGTAGGTGTTGGTTCAAGGTTTTCTACGCAGTCATCGTTGAGGTTACGACAGTTACTGGTTTACCCAGATAATCCAGTTGGTGCGTTTGCTGGTAAATACAATAGGAAGCAATGCATAGGGAGCCCTGTCTTGGCATAGATTGCTGTCTCCTGTGCATTGAATTTAAGTTGCATAATGCCTGCCAAGGCCACTCATTTCTGTGTGTAGTCCTTTCGGGTGGAGATTAGTGGAGCTGGACTTGCTTTGGCAGGTTGAGAAGGCTTCTTACCAGTTGAACAGTTACACAGTATTGGAGAAATGAGAAGAGAAGGCTGTTAGAGAAGCAGAAGTTTTGAACAAAATCTGTCCAGCTGTGCCCAAAATTAAGTCTTTTCTGTTGCAGCGTAAGGGGGAAAATGGTATCTTTCAGCTAACATTAAGTTGTGTAGGTATAACTGTTTTGTTGTGGTAGTATGGCTACTTCACTTGTCCCTTTTTACTCATCTGACAAGTGCAGTTATGCCTAAATTATTCATATTACTCAAGGCTATAGGGAGAGAAGTTCTACTCTGCATGTAGTGTAGAGCATTTGAGGAGGCATCTGCAAAGCTCTCTTTTTTCAGGCAGTCATGCTTTAACTTTTCCTGCTGGTCACTAGAAAGATTAGTTGTCAGTCTGACAACTTCTGAAGAGGTGGCTGTGAAGAGGAGCAGAATTATATCTTGACTTGTGAAAGTTAACACCACAGTTCTGTGGCAAAGGTTATAAAGCTTCCCCAAGGCATAGCTGTCAGTCTGGCTGTATTACTTTGACTCTGTTTTAGCAGCATTGGAAGTTGTTTGATAAAGAGTCCATTGAAACTTAGATTTTTCTTTTTGGTTATTTAAACCAGTTGGTAAGTGTGACCATGGTGATAATGATATTTAGTAGGTACTCTTATAATGCAACTAGACATGCCTGTATTCTGGTTGTGTGCTGTTTTGGCAAGTAGTTGGCTGTGATGAAGGCAAAATAATCCTTGTTGAGCAGATGGGGAAAACCTAATATGGAGCCCATTACTCAGATTAGGCGTGATTCCTCCAGAAGGGTCCTGGAACTATAACAGATCTATGGAAACATCTGCCTGATGTTTCATAGTGGAAAAGGACTTAACTCTTTTTGACTGACAGTGAAATAAATAGCAAACAAAGCAGAAAAGTATTATTGTGACCCTAGGCTAACAAACTGGATTCATATAGGATAGGTCTCATCCCCAGTCAAAGAAGGATGTAGTAGGACTAGTTAAGATCCATGAAAGAGTGACAAGGGTAATTGTAGTGTAGAATGATGTATCTTTTTTCTTGGTAGAAGAATGATTTAAGACTAATGTCACTTCATAAACATTAGAGAACTTACGGGGCAAGGAAATGTGACAAATATCTATAAAAGCACCTGCAGCATGGAGAAACAGCTATGAAGCCATTAACACTCTCTTCTAGTGTAAGAACAAGGAGGGGCAGTCAACCAAAACTAGTAGGTGGCAAACTTCTAGATAAAAATAGCTAACTATTCACACAGTGCATAAGTGAACTGTTAAATACAGTCCTGCCGAATGTTGTGGAGCTCAGAAGTTCAATGGATCTGAAGAGTGATTAGACAAATTCACAAAGGAAAAACACGGTATGTGCTGCAAAACACATATGCTGGCTCAGGAGGCTTTGAGCTGCAACCTGGCAGCTGCTGGGAATATGCTTCCATAGTGCAGTGGTGTATCTGGTGTTCTTTCCAAGGCATCTGGTGCTGCTGGAGAGTAGGTCCTAGGCTAGATAGCTGCTGGTCTGTCCCCATTACAGAGCATCTAAGCTTTATGTCCTTATGACTTGGCTGCTAAATAATACTGTTTAAGGGCTTTAATTTTCTTTCTTTCATAGGACTCTTAAGGTAGGACACATATATGTAGAAAATATAGTGAGGAATATATTCACAGTGACTGACACAATCTGGTGTGCAATAATCTTCATCTCTTATTAAAATCTCTCAGTTTGAAAACAGGACAATTTCAGCTTGCCAACTGGGAATGAGCTTAGCTCATGTGAGTTTTCAAACCATGCCCAAGAATTTTAGGAGTTCGCAAGTTGGCATAGGTTAAAATCATGCCTCAGACTATTTGAGCAATTAAGCAATGTAGACAGTTGCATTCCAGTAGCCAGGAGTGTTTCCAGGCACTGTGCAATTTACAGTTCCAGCTTGAGCATTTGGTTTCTACCCAGTTTGAAGTACTGAACAGAAAGAAACTTACTTGCACAGTAGGGCTTCTCTGTGTGACCACCATGCTTACTGGTCTGCTTCTTACAGGCAAAATCTCTGCTGATTTTTATGAACAAGGAAAAAAGTTCTTAAGGTGTCTAAATCTCACATAGAAGTGAAAATTAAATCACAGGAGTGATTTGGAGTAATCTGAAATTTACTGTGTTACCACGTGGGAAATCAGAAAAGTTCCTGCCTAGAACAAGGAGTGAAATTAAGAGGTGCTTTGGTAAAGCGTGAATTGTAGATTTTGTGATTTTTGCCTTAAAAGTAGTATCTACCATTTCTTTCTAGACAATGTCGTCAGCAGTTGTTCAAATCTACGCAGCAGATCGCAATGCCATGTGGTCAAAGAAATGCTGTGGTGTCGCTTGCCTTGTAAAGGACAATCCGCAGAGGTCGTATTTTATCAGAATATTTGACATTAAGGTAAGCATCCTGTTTTCTTTTTCAGACTCAAGTTTGGTTGTGTTCATTTGCCATTTTGAATTCAATGAGTGTAGGTTGTTGTAGCTACAAACTCACAAATTCTCAAGTAAATAGTCTTCTTTTAAGCAGTACAATTATAGCGCTTATTATTAGGCAAGTGCAGCTTTCTCAGGTATACTAAATTTGAACTATTTCATAGGTGTCAGCTTTTATGGATGAAATAAATATCAGATACCATTTTCTTACAGCTCTCAGAAGGTGTCCTCTACAGATCTGACTAGTCAAATTAGTGGAAGTTAGTGTAGTGTCACTGAGATGGATAGCTGTCAAAATTCTGGTGAGCATCAGTACTTTGGATGACACTAACGAAATAGTTGCTGCCTTTTTTATGGGTGAAAACAATATTTTTGTTCAGTGTGTTGTTGCATGTGAAAACTGCAGGACAGATAAATTGTGTGTTTTGGTTTGTTTGGGTTCTTTTTCATTCTGCAATATGTGTACTCATACTAAAGATCTTTGTCCCATGCTAATATTTTACTCAAGACAGTGGGAACTGAGAGATGAAGTGTCCAAGATGTGTTTTCATAACAAAAATGATACTGAGAAACATAAGTCCTACTGACTGTGCTGGGACTCTGGAAAGCTTCCCATTGTCTCAAAAGCCAGGAACAGCTCATTATCTGTGAGCATTCAGTGCTTGAAGTCTCTCAGATTTGTTCATGATTGCCAGCTGGCTCCTGCATTTGACTTTGTGATTTGGTCATTTGACTATTAAGACTTAGGGAGAAACCTTTTCCTTGGGTGCTGAACTATAGTGCCATTTAAATATCTGAAGCTTCTTAGAAAGGTGATATTTTTGTTCTGTTTAAGTTAACTGTTTTCAAGCCAAGACTGAGATAAGAACAGGAGACTGTCGGAGTCTCCTTTATTGCTAATACTGTTTTGTCACTGTATTCCTGTGACTGGTCACTGTTACTGCTCTCACTATCAATACTGCAGGGTTGTAGAACTTGAAGGATGTTTTTGAAAACATCCAGGAATTTGAACAGAACTCAGTGACCCAATGGAATAGGCCTTCATATCTCCTCCACAAGTTCCAGTATATTTTGGTTTTGGTTGAGCTCATTCATTGGGTTAATAGCAAGGTAGATGCTTAACACAATGCAGCATCCAACTCTTAATAGGTTCTATTGTGAAAGAAGTTAAACTCTGCAATTTCAACTGAAGTTTTTCAGTCTTTTTTTTTTCTTCTTCTTTTCAGGATGGGAAATTATTGTGGGAGCAGGAGCTGTACAATAACTTTGTATATAATAGTCCTAGAGGATATTTTCATACCTTTGCTGGAGATGTGAGTCTCAATGTCTTTGAATACCTATTTTACAGTACCTTTAGTTTGAACACTTCTTCTAATGTTACTGAGGTTATTAACTCATTCTGTTAATTATTCATAGAAGTACAATGTTACCTGTGTTCCTTGAAGCTTTTAAAGCTTATTTATAAGAGGAATATTTTTTGTATCTTAACTAGAAAATTTAATCCATAGTACAGAAGCATAAAATGTGGTTCTTTATTTTCAACTTTTGTTAATGAAATTACATTTTGACTTGCAGATGATGTTTGTGAAGTATCATGTATTCTTAAAGCACAAATTTTCTTCTCTCCACCCTTTGATTTCAAGCTACCAGATTTTACTCAAGTCTTAGCCATGATCTCTAGATACTTGATTAGTAAACAGATGTTCCTAAGATATAATGTTTTACTAAGACTAGGTTCCAGATTTGCAGTGATGATTTTTTCTGGTTATACCTTTTGAAGGTGTAAGAAGACACTTAAGAAAGCCTTTGAAACATTTTCTTAGTCATGGGTGGGGGAATATTAATGTTTTTCAGACATGTCAAGTTGGTCTTAATTTTGCTAATGAAGAAGAAGCTAAACTATTCCGCAAAACAGTAACAGATTTACTTGGACGACGGCAGAGAAAATCTGGTAAATATTCAAATCAATCTTAAATTTAGGCTTGTTTATGTTGTCTTGGGGGGAGTCAGGAAGCTACTATTATGTCTGAAAGCTACTGGAGGCACTGCTGCCATGTTTACGTTTAGAAGTTGCTATGTTATCAAAACTGCTTCTTTCTCTACTGTGCAAAAATTAGTATTTTTCTGAAATAATTTAACTTGGTGTTCCATGGCATAAGTTTCCGCATAAGCTCAGACCCCAAGGTTGTGGTGATTGAAAATATAGATCAGGGGAAGCAAAAATGGTAAACTGACAGTGGGAAAACTAGAAGTCTTTCTCTAAGCTGTTTTCACATCTGACTAAACCCTCTTTTAGCTCTGGGCTGTTTATAACCGATTTGTTTAAATTCAGCCCAAGTGGGTTGTAACAAAGATTTTACCATCTGGTATGTTCAGTAGTTCATGTGAATGAATTTTTGGCATTGATCCAACATTTAGTAGAGAAATATCTTTTATTCAGGACTAGTGATCTTGGCACAGGCCAAGAACAGAAGACATAATGTGCCTATACTGTCCTTAGCAGCACAGGACAGTGAAGCATAGCATGCTTTTTGCCAGCTGCACGATGCCTTGGGAACATGGTCAGTGTTTTAAAGGGAGCTCAGGCTTCCTACAGATCTTGTCTTGGTCATTTTCCAGGGAGCCCATAAACAACTTGCCTATCTGACAGCCATATGTCCGTGAAGGATAAAGTGATACAAAACATAGGCTGGGAACACACAGATGTGCTCAGGCTTGCTGTAAGCTGTAGTGTGGACTTGTGTTCAAGCTACAGGATGCATTTTTTGTAGTCTATTCTGGAATTGAATTGCACTAGCAATGCAGTGTATGCTAAAGAGGAATCCCTCATCTTGGAGAGCTACCCTTGCCAGTGTTGTTGGGAATGTGCCTGACCTATAAGTATTCACTTGGACTTCATTAAGGTATGGTGACTCAGGTGCAGGGCACTTATTTTGGGAGCTTAAATGATTTTGAGGTTTGCCTCTGTTCAGAGTAAGTTCATAAGCTTTCATGAGAAGAAGTGGGACCGTTAAGAAGTGGCATTAATAATGTTTATCATACTTGTGATGTAGAAGTAATATTGCATCTACTGTTCCTGAAGTTTTACTCTATTATATGTCTAAAACACAGTGCTACAGTGCAAACATGACATGAGAGGGAACGTGTTTGCATTATTGGCTGTAACAAACTTTGTTTAAAAACAGTGGGTCTGTCAAACCTCCTGTTCAGTTTTCCTTCCACACTGAGACTTTTTTCCACAGGACCACAAGTTTTTCTCATTTCCTCTTTGAACTAATACCTTGATTTGTGTGCTCAAACTCATGTTGCAGGATGAGTTTACTCCATATATTATCATAACAAGCAAACAGTTCCCCCGCCCAAACGTTTACAGCTTCAAGACAACTTTAATTAAAAAAAAAGCCAAACAGCAAAATAAAATTAAAAAAAAACATTTCAAGCTTTTTCCTTTTTTAGGAGCTACAAAACAAGAGCTTAAAACCGCCATGAGATTCCTTAGTCAGGCCACCAGATGGAGTTCTGTATTTGTCATTGTGACTACAGTTAATTGTGCTTCTAAAATAACAGGCTCAGCACTTGCTTGAATCAAAGCTCATTTGCTGTTGGCATTTGTTTTTATTTGTTTATCTGTAAATGCTTATGTAAACACATTAACTTATACGTAGATTGATATATATAATAAAATTATATAAAAGTTGATATATAATAAAATTATATAAAAGT